TACAAAATGGGTAAAGGCTTATAACGTGATTATCAAATGAGAAAGGTCTTAGGCTCAAACGGGTTGACTAGGGATAACAACATTGGTAGGACAAGGAAAATTTCAAACGGGTCAAGGAGAGCCTACGATCACTTCTCACACCAAGCGAAACTTAGAATTTCACCTAGAAACACATTCGGGGCAAGTGCTAGACCATCTGCACGGGTACTTAGACTTGCAACAAAAACATCTCACTTCTCACACAGCTGGATTGTAAAAGAGGAAAGAGTCGAGGGCCCACAACAACCATATTCAAGATTGAAAATCACTAATGGTTCGATAAAACCACTCGATGATTGCTTTAGTCAACACAAGAGTCAAAAGTTCACTAACTAGAGCTATTTCTTTCCAAGAACTTATTTTTAATCATAAGCACGTAGTTAAGTGTGTTGGTACCAAGTGAAGCATGCTCAACTCTTCTAGTTTTACTCAATTAGGTCCTCTTATTCATTATTACTACTATTCTTACTAAAACACCAAAAATAGACTCAATCCCTTAAGAAGGTTGTCACGCCATCCATCGTTGGGAAGAGTCACCCGGTTTACACAAAAATTACCTTTGTGGCATTAAGAAAACCATAGGCTTATTAATCATTTAAACATGAAAAGAAATTACTAAATGAAAAAGAAGCTATTAAAGTAAATAAGAAGCTATTAAAGTAAATAAGAAGATATAAGACTAAACATTTAACTACTAAGAAAATAAAATAAAGAAGCTATAAAGTAAACTAGTGAAAGCATCAATGAATATACAAGATGAGAAAGAAAGAGAAAATATATACATCATTAGAGAGAGAAGAATATATACATAATAAAAAGAAAAAGAAAATGTTATCATTTATTTACAGGACAATGTCATCAAATCAAATAGACTACACCCCCTCCCCCCTCCCCTCCCCCCCAAATAAGAATAAGCATTGTCCCTAATGCTTAACAAAATAAAAATCAAGGAAGGAAAAGAATAGAGAAGACTCCATATGTGGTCTCAGTGTCCACAACAGCATAACTACCCTCAGACTCCTCCAATTGTATCTCATCATCCTCTGCTCGAGGAGTAGTTGGGTTGGTGAACATCTGTAACAATGCCTCAGCAGTGTGGACAGCGAGGTCTGGCTCCTCAGACTGGCCAACCGATGCCTCCGGTGCTGATGGTGTTGCTGGGTCTGATGGTGTTGCTGGAGCTGTTTCCATTATCAAGTCAAATGGAAGATCCCCAACTGCTTCTATCTTTGTCACCTCTCGTCTCAATCTGTCAAATGATTTCTTTGAAACCTAGGATTTCCTCATCTTCTTCACCTGCTTCCCAAACTCCTCAATTTTTATTCCATGTGCCACCAATATGTCCATGATAGTCTTCTGGTTGTCCAGAAGCGTCTTCAAAGTCTCCTCCACTGTTGGAGGAATCTAGGGAGCTGGGGTAGATGCCTGGGCTGCAACAGAACTGATAGATCAGACATTTTTGCAGCAGTTGTCTACATCCAGTTGCTGAGACTCGCCAGTGTGTGGGAGACTCGTAGCACCGTAAATGGATAAGTAGAAAATGAAGACACTGATGCTGATGGCTCGGAAGATGGAGGTGGAGATATGGCAGTTGTACTGCTAGAAGGCCCGGCTACTGTGGAAGGCATGGTAGCTGAATCTGCAGCTACCATCGAAGGCTCATCAGACTGGCCCACAGTAGTAGTTGTGTTACCCTTGTTCTTGGGGTTCCTTGGGTCCTTCAGAGAGTACCATGTAAAGGGATGTTTTGCCCAAACCTTTGGATGAAAGCTCTTTGACTCCACTCCCGCATCCTTAAGATATTCTATGATGGTGTTTGGATATGGGTAGGAGCTCTCACCCTGCCTGCCGATTAGAGACATGTTGACCGATATGATGGCACCCATATTTATTGGGTACCCGACCATGATGGAGGCAACTAAGACTGCCTGTGGGATAGGGAGAATGTTCTCATTCTGGTTTGGGTCTATCCGACTATATACAAATGTCTGTCAACACTTATCCTCAAAGTTGAGGGTGTTCCATTAAACCCCTATTGTGATCCATGGTGGTGGTGGTCCTGGAGCTGCTAGTATCTCATCTAGCCAAGGGCGAGCCGCATCACCCAGTGCAAACTTTTCCAAATACTGTACCGGCACCACATCCTCAGCCCCAAGTATGTGTTCAGGGAGGTTTGATCAAATCTAACTTTCAAATTCCTCATCGTTGTCACCTTAGTCCCCTTCTTGATATGCGCCATATTGGTGTAGAATTCCCGGACTAAGTGCTCCTTGGCATCCACCATGCTTTGAGTGAACCATGTCCACCCTTTTCTCTATCGGAACTGTCTTGCCACATTGGGGTTGTATCTATCCAAATCTTTCAAATCAAATTTATGCTCATGAGTGAGTGATCTTTGAGTCCACCATTCACGGAATCTATTAAAAGCTGTCAGGCTCACAAATATATCTTCCCATACTTCTTTCTTCTTCGACCTCTCACCACCGGCAACTCGGGTATCTCCTCCTCGACTATCATCCAGAATACTATCATCATCATTAACTATAACAGGTGAGGTGGGGGTATGAGTAGATGAGGGCTCTGAACCCTGGCTGCCATCTTCCGAATCCTTAGAAGAGCTAGCTGAGGTGGAAGGCTCATCTCTAAGTTAGAGTATACTCGAAAACTGCCTTGCTGTGACTGTGCATCGGGCTGTTCTTGCACTGAATTGCCTTCTGATGCATCCTTAGATGGGACATATGAGTTGGACTCAGCAGGCTCCGGGGCTCTCCCGACTATTGCTTTCTTTGCTACTGCTCTTTGCATTGTGAGTGGCATGCTACCCCTGCCTCGGCCTCGGGAGGGTTCACCCCTCCCTTTTGATGTATCACCTCTTCCACAAGATCTAACCATTGTCTCCAATACATAGTAACAAAATTCAGTTAAGTTCAAACTCACAGTATAAGACAATTGCAGGAAAAAATAGATGCAGTTAAAGAAGTGCGGTCGCATAATTGTGAGTGCGGCCACACATAGGAAAGTGCAGACCACACAATTTGGAAGTGCATTTTTCCAGGGGGCCGTCATACGTCCTCTTGTATAGGTTTCGTCGAATTTTTTCAACAAAATGGAGGATACTTGTTCCTTGGCGAGGTCATTGTCTTTCACGGCGGTGACATAGTGAGTTACATAGTCCTCGGGATCGATCGTATCATCATATATTTTCAGGTAGGGCGGCATTTTAAGGTCTTTGGTATGGCATGTAGGGTGGATTCATCACTGTATTATTGCTCGACGAACCGACCAACATCTCTCTTTGGTAAGAGCTTTGGGGCACCTGTTATCTTGTCGACCCTTTCTTGGTTTTCTCTTATTTGGTCCCAAAGTGCTTTGTTCTCGTTCTCCATTTCTTCTATTTTCCTCAAAATGGCTGTGAGGTGTCGTCACCTGCACTATTAACGGTGTTGTGAGTAATACCTGTCATCGAATGAGGAAACGGGCCATGCTGCTCGCCCGTTGTTGGTGTAACGCAAGTCCTTGCATTTTCTATAACTGTATCCTGAGCGGGCTTGTGGAGATGCTGGTTAGCGTGTCAGTTAGCCAAGACTCGAAGACCTTTTTTTAATGCTGGCAGCGTCTCTTCCATCACGGACGTGGAAGCTCCTTTACTGCGGTACATTGCGATACTGCCGTGGGGAGGAGGTGACCCGCCTCGCTTGGGAGAGGCATTAGGTGTTATATCCTCACCTTTTATTTCATAAGCCCCATTGAAGTAAGATAAAGTCGGTGGAAAACTGAGAGTAATGCACATTTAATATTCCAAAAGATGTGTGTAATAATAGGGGAATATTAAGCAATAAATGGTATTTATGTAAATAAGTAGAATGATTCACCTAATAATGAATGAGGTGGATGATTCCTCCTTCTGACAATGACAGACAAATCCTAGAATGTTAGAATTATTCTCGATTGATGTAAAAGTATGGAATAATGTGAGTAAGAATCTTGATGAAAATGTAAAGTTTGTATCTTTGCTAGAGAGAGAATCTTCTTCTCAAAAAGTATTTTTATCAAGTGAATATTACATATCCTACACTATTGTCTCTTTTTCTATTTATATGAGTCATATCTCTAAGGGCATCTCCAAGGGTGCACTATTTTTTGCACCAAATCTAAATTTGGTGTAAAATTTGGTATTGTTTTTGCTCCAATGGAACCCCAAATCTTGCACAATTTTAGTGTGTGAATAGTGTCACACCAAATTTGGTGTGACACTATTCATCAACACCAAATTTAATTTATTATTATTTTATTCATCTTTTTACTTTTTTAGATTTTTAATTTATCATATATTGTGTATACAATTAATTTTTATATTAAGATCTTTATAATTTTAATTTTATATCCTATTTTTTTGATATTTTAATTTTTGTATATATTATATTTATATAAAATTATAAGTTAATTTTACTATTATTATAATTGTATAAAAAGAAATATAACCATTATTTAAAAATGAAAAATGCAAATGTAAGATATCTAATGTTGCTAAAATTGAAAAGTGAAAACTAAAATTTAAAAAAGAAAATTAACAATACATAAAATAAAAATACATTATAATTAAAAGTACATCAAAGGAGGATACATTAAAATTGAAATTACATTAAAAAACATAAAACATAAGTTTAGTAATCCGCTATGTCATTTCCAGGTGCACCAAAAGTACCAAAAATTTGAGAAAACGGGGTAGAATATTGTTGTGCTTGTGGTTATTGAAATTGTTGACTTCTTTTATCGATTATTTGTTTTATTTATTGTCGCAAAAATTCACGAAGATTTGGATCGTCAATGGAATTCAAGTTCGTCAATAAAATTTTATTTTCCTCTTTGTATTCTTTTTGTCTCGAAGCTTCATTTCTTGAGTTACTTGACTTTTACATCGCTTCAACAAGCCGACTATTTTCCGATTGGATCATTTTCACTTAATCTTCGTCAATTTTTCTCTTCAATTTTGCTTTCTTTACCCCAATAAGTCGTTGTGATGATGTGGCCTCACCTGCAACATCCTCATTTAACTTTAGTGAAAATGATGATAAGTTAGGAAACGATACCAACGGTGAAGATGGAGTACGAGCCTCAGACTCCGATGATACATAAGTAGAGCCATGCTTTCTTACTTTTGTTCTTCCAAAATCAACATCGCTAAACTTCTCAAAATATTTCATCATATCCCACACATGATCAAATTTAAAGCCTATTTTAAAGTTCGGATCTTGCATAAGTAAAGTTTTTGCTTGTGCAATCTGCAGTATTTAAGTAAAAGTAAGATAAACAATAAGCAAATATATATAAATATAGTATAATCAAGTAACTAAAAAAATACTTACGATATCTTTTTCGGAAGAACCACTTGGATTTAAATTTTCGACTTGACGAATACATCCATTTAATTTTCTGACAGCCTTCTCAATTGCTTGAAGTCGACATTGCACCGATCTTTGTTTAATTTTCTTCCTTTCCACGATTGTAAGCTGCGACGAATCGATTTCAAAAATTATCTTTAGATTGATAGATTCCCATTACAGAATCTTGAGAAACATCTAAATAAACTTGACATAATAATTTATTTTCATTTGTAGTGTATCCTGCCGATCGACGGGCATTTTTAATTGATTAGAGGAAAAATAGATTATATAATTACAAAAAAATAAAAGCTAGTTGTGGTTATGGATTAGTATGTTCCCAGTAGACACAAATGATAGATTTTATCTTAATATCAACCGTTGGATGGATTTCATCCCAATATCAACCATAGGATAGATTTCCTCATTCTCTAAATTATCTTTAAAAAAACAAAAAAAAATATCTCTTTCACTGCCGATGATGAAGTTGAGCAGCAACTATTCATGCAAAATACTCAAATGAACAATTATATGTTGCAGCATTTCCAAGAATATCAAAATAATTATCCTACGAGAGTTGGCTCCATTTCAGGTCACTTGGTAATCCATCGAGATCGGGATGGTGCTGATAATAATTTATTTCTCGATTATTTTTCGGATAATCCACACTTTAATGAGGGTATGTTTCGTCGTTGATTTCGAATGTCCCAAAATTTATTCCTTCGAATTGTTGATGCAATTAAAGGTCATGATATGTACTTCGAACAATGCACTGATGCGGTGGGTAGATTTGGATTATCCACTCTATAAAAAATTAAAGCTGTGTTTAGAATGTTGGCATATAGTTTGCCAGCAGATGCCACTGATGAATATGTCAAAATTGGAGAGTCAACTATAATTGAAATCATGAAGAGATTTTGTCGAGTTGTCGTAGAGGTTTTTGACGATCAGTATTTGAGATCACCAACAACTAACGATGTTGCAAGGCTTCTGTACATCGGTGAACAATGTAGTTTTCCAGGAATACTAGGCAGTTTAGATTGCATGCATTGGAGATGTAAAAATTGTCCAACAGCATGGGCTGGACAATATGCATGTCATAGTGGATCCCCAATAATTATTCTTGAAGTTGTAGCTGATTACGACCTTTGGATATCGCATGCATATTTTGGTATGCCCGGCACCAATAATGATATTAATGTTTTAGAATCATCACATTTATTTTCCAATCTCGCTAATGGTATTGCTCCTCCAGCGTGTTATGTTATTCAAGGAAAAGAATATGACATCGGTTATTATTTAGCTGACAGTATATATCCAAAATGGTCTACTATTGTGCAAACTATTCGGGAGCCACGTTCAGCAAAGAAGAAATATTTTGCAATGAAACAAGAATCATGTCGAAAAGATGTTGAACGTGCATTCAGAGTTTTGCAATCTCGTTTTGCAATTGTTGCAGGTCCATCACGTTTTTGGAGAAAAGAGGTGCTACGTGATATAATGACCACATATATTATACTGCACAACATTATAATTGAGGACGAGCGTGATCTTAATGCACCAATTGAAGATGCATGTGAATGTCCAGCTCCTACGGTAGAAATGGCAGTAGATGAAGATCACTGATTTGAACAATTTTTAGCTCAACACAAAAAAAAAATTAAGGATAAAGATGCGTATTTCGCACTTCGTAATGCATTAATCGAGCATTTATGGGAGAATAGAGGCGAAAATTGAATATTTATGTGGTACTTAAATTAAATTTGACTATGATGTAATATTTATTTAATTATCTTTTATCAATGATTTCACTTTTAGTTGATTTATCCTTTAAAATAATTTTGTAATAAATGATTATATAAGTGGTGAATGTGAATTATATGGAAAAAAGAAAAAAGATAGAATTTGTTTGAAGGAAATAAAATTTAAATAGAAGATAATAATATAATATAGAAGAGAAAGAAGAAATATTCTTTTTTGGTGTAAAAAAAATAGTGTAATATATATATATATATATATATATATATATATATAAAGCAGGGGAATGGAATGTTGATATGGCACTCTCATATCCCAGCAAATATATTTATCTAATTTCTCAGTTTTTCAAAATTTTCCTCTGATTTTAACTCAACAAATCAATCAATTACTATTAAAAAATTAGGCTCAATTACAGCCCCTAATAATAAGGAAACAGATAAAGCGGCGATTTCAAAATTCTCACAAAATCCGTATCTGAAAATAAAAAAGTCACCATATTGAAACGCCGCTTCTTATTAAGAATCTACAAATTAGCTCGATTTCGCAATCTAAGGTATGTACTCCAAGACATGGTTAAACTCCTGCTATTGAAAGGTTTCTCTTGTGATGCTATATGCCCACGTGAAGTATGTCTCGGTCTTTTTATTTCTGTCCAACTTATTCAAATTTGTTGAATTGTAGAGAGCTCAACTCATGGCCTGTCTGTCACTTGAGCAATACGTGTGTGTGAACAAGTCAGACTCTCACTTTATTTTTTTCTTCTTTAAACTGTACATGTACCAGTAGGTATTAACAATGGCTCTTGAGTTGGATCGTATCCACCATTCACTTGTGTCGAATCAGCTTTTCAGAGTATGGCTTCCATATTTTGACTAAAATTCTTATAGATCACAAGGCACCTCAGAGTGGGAATGTTGAACTCTTCAATGACTGTTACTCTTCTATTGTTCCGTTACTGAAATAGTTTGAAGTTTTGAACTTTAGATTTATTTCCTTTTATGAGACTGACTCTACACATCTAAGTTTTTGTTGGTCATTTAGGAAAAAAATTTAACTTTAGATTCTTGATGCTCCTTTCTTCTTCTTATGTGAATACAAAAGCTGAGTTCTTTGTGGGTTAGTTAAAAGTTTTGAACTTTAAATTCTTGATGCTTGAAGGGCAACGCAACTAAATTGGTATCAAAGAAAAAGAGAGAACTTACTGTAAGCAAGATCTATTTGAAATGTTTTGTTTGTCCTTATTTCAGTAAGTTATGGAATTACCTTTTTCTATTTATAAGACGAGTTCAAGGACTATTAAAATAGAAAGAAACAAAACTTTTCGAATTCTGTAGAGGATTGAGAACTAAAATAGAAATTTGTATTGCACCATATAAATTGATTTTTATGCAATAAAAATATCTTTATCTCAACAAAATTTAGAAAAAAAATATTTCTAACTATACATTTCTGTCATTTGTAACCACACAAAGTGCGGCAAATTCTCTAGTGATTGGAGTAAATTGGGTGTTACACCATTTTGGTGTGAAATTTGGTGTTAGGATTGGAAATGGTCTAACAAACCATAATAGTACAAGTGCAGAGAATATTCAATAGAATATTTTCCTTACTATCCTATTACAAAAACTAGCCGTATTATTCTGTTCTTGGTGCTCGACCTTGGTCGTTGTTGACAGCCTGACTACGAATCTCACTGCTTCCTAGTCGACCTCGACCGATCCTTTTCTTAGTGCCGCTTTGCACCAAATTTCCTTAGGGCAGATTTTGGCCCATACAAGTGCGTCTTACACGTGAATTTAAATAAATTTTTATTATTTATGATTAAAGATATGCATCTCTCATTTTTTGGAAATGAATGCACAATAAGGAGAAAATCAATCGCAAGTTTATTGAGCACGAAACATACTTTTTAACTAGTGTCATGGATTTTTGCATCATATATTTCAAATATATTATCTCCATGTATGGTTGAGGTGTAACATGGAGGGTTGAAGGGATGGAAGTAAATTAATTTGAAATGGTAATTTTTATATTTAACATAGCTAACAGGGATTAGCAAAAATTATATTTGGTCGAATTAGTTACGAGGCTACCAAATTTTCATAACAATATCATTCATATTGTAACATTTTCTATCCTTGTGTTTAAATTTGGCTAAATAAAAGAAAGATATCACTGCAATTGAGGTAAAGTAAACCTCCAATTTCTAAATCAAGTTATTTTTCATATAATAGTGTTAACCAAAGACGAAGCATCATAGTAGACACCGGAAATTACTTGTTCACAATCTTGTCTTTCTTAAATCAGCATTTAAGTTAAGTATATTGACAGTACAAGAAATATTTATATAATCAAATTACTTAAATTAAATAAATTTTAAAAATAAATATTTTTTTATAATATATTAAATTACACCATAATTTGTGTATTAACGTAAACCCTTTTTAAAATAATCTATCTATACTATATTAAAAGCACGAAGACCCTTAGCGAAATGTTGTTCGCCTTTTTTACCCTTTAAAAACAGATTTTACACTGGACAAAATAGTAATTTAAGTTATTTTCCTAATATTTTAAACTTTCAAGTTAGCTAAAATTCAGTAATCAAAATCCCTCCTTATTTAAATTATGTAAAATCTTAATAGTTAAAAATTTAAACTCAAATCAAAGTTTACTTATATAGACTACAAACGAAAGCTAGGATGTCAAAGAGAAAAAGCATTACGCATTGGAACAAGTACAATCTTATTCTACAAGTGCTGTAAAAATTAAAAATTATATATATGCAGCCATTGTTACGGTAACTACTTTAAAGCTTATTAGTAAAAACTTTAATGCTAGATACCAAAGGAAGGATTCAATTAACAAAATCTTATTGATACTATAATAAAATGTCGTATCATTATATATTTTTTGGGTCAAACGTAGTAATTATATGGGAATTGCTGACCAATATTTTGGTGTTCTATCTTAGCTAATAGCTTCTTAATCCTTTCATATTAGAACTATTTAACATAATTATAATATATTTCATATTAATTATTTTAATATTTAGGACTGAAAATTAACTAAGATTATTTCATATTTGAACTGTTAGAAATATTTATTCAGTAATTTAAACAAATTAAATTTTAATTGACTTATATAATTATTTTCTTATTGGAACGATGTAACATAATTATAATCTCTTTTAAGTTATAATTAAATATTTAAAACTTGGAATCAACAAAAAATAAATTTGTTAATGTAAAAACCAAATAATTAAGTCTAAAAATCCAATTCAATTATTTATCAAATTTATCATACAAGTAAATTATTTTTCTAAGTTGAAAAAACTCTTAGATGCCTAAATTGGTTTTCATATTGGCGGTGAATGAAAATAAAAAAAATAGAAAAATTAACATGGAAGGTTTTATAGATAAGCCTTTTAAGTAAATATAATATAAATATAAATATAAATATANTAAAAAACCGAAGGACTACCACCAGTTGAGTTAACGGATCAAAATTCGGACCCAAAATCCGAGTGATTTTGGCCTGCCAATTCGAGTGATTAGGGCTCCTTGTCGTCGTCCTAATAAGCCTCCTCTTTCTTGCGCCTTCTTTCTTCTTCCCCCTCCTCACGCGCCATAGGTAACAAATTTCTATTTGTATTCAATATATTTTGTTTTCTCATTTACTTTCTATTCCGCTTATTTCTATTGCTGATCAGAGCTAAATCTCCCCTTCTGATTTATGATTTGCTTATACATAGCAATTTGAATTCTTCATTCGTAGTTCAACTTTCGATATAATTTATTGATGGATATAAAAGAGGAAAAATACTAATTGCGCAGAAGAATCCATATATGTGTAGGACAAATTGGGACAAACTAAAGAAAAAATAAAAGGTAGAATTTCACTACAAGTCTTGAGATTATTGTGAAGTTATTTTTTATGTTTATGGAAGACACAATTATGTAATTTCCTTGTCGTAAATTTCCTTTACTGTTCCTTATTGCCAGTTTATTTTTAGTTGACCTCGCGAGCAAAACTGCTTTGTTCTTCTCCTCGCAATTGCTGTCTTTGATTGAAATCGAGCTGTATGTTCTTCAAAAACCCTAAATTCAATTAATTGCCAGTTTACTTTCCAAGACCACGCAATCAAAACTGCGTCGAATTTGTTCTCCTCCTCGCAATTTCTGTCTTTGATTGAAATCGAGCTGTTCAAAAGCCCTAATCCCTTTTTCTGCTAATGCATAGATAAAAAAAATTGTCTTAACTTTTCATTTTCTTTCGCTTATGGATTCGCATAGTTAGTCCTCGTCAATAATTTCACAGGACACTGTTGATTGTAATTTCATTTCATGTCATTTGTCCAATTGTAATTCTTGATTTCTACTGTTGAAATTTTTGTAAAGACTTACTGTTAGAATTAGTAAGAATTGAAATCCCTATTATGTTAACTTTTATACGGGTGGGACTTGTTCATTTTCCAATGTTAACAGAAGCTTTGATTGAATTTGGACTTTCAGAGTAGGATGATCAGAAGGAAGCAAATGAGTATAACTGAAAGGAGCAACAGTACGATGCTAGTTTTCTTGCTAGCTACACTGAATCAACCACTTCTACTTTTCTCTTTATCCATTTAATATAGGGGACAAGCTTATATGTTGATAAATGAAGTTGCTCAACTTTATTTTTGTTCAATTTGTCTTCTGGCTTGGAGATCCAGATTTTTGGTTAAAGCTGATTCACTAATCTGAGTTAATGAACTTAAAATAATAACAGGACAAGTTTAACAACCCAAGACTTGCTTACCGTCAAGAGTATACAGATCATTTAGGAACATAATTTCATTTCCATGAAATGAGTTTCCTGCTGTC